AGGTTTATACAACTATAATTTCTATTTATTCACATACTTGTATTTTGTAGATAAAGATTTATATTTTAATTGGAAAAAAATCGCGTAACGGGAAATATATAAGCTTTACTGTGAGATCTACGATAAATATCACATTTACGTTTATAGTTACGTTTATAAATTAAATATTGATAGAACAAGTCTAAAGAAAATGATTAATAATACGATGAATTATTCTATCTCGTATTTATTTCATTTTTATTTTACATTTAAATACTTTGTTCTTATATAATCTTGTTGTTAGTTTTAAAATCACAGCTATACGATTTAAATTTATCCATACTTGTGCATACATATAAAAATGTAATTTTCTAATTAGAATAAAATGATTATCACAAAAAATATACTCGTTATCTAGAAATCTTCTTATAAATAATATTTTATTTTACGCTTATAACGATATAAACAAAAAAAATTGAGTTGTCGAACAAGTTGGACAAAGAAAAAAAAAAAGAAATAAAAGAAATGATTCCTATATATGTAAAGAAAATACTCGTTAGAAATAAATCATAACTAGTAAAAGACACGCGTTACCGAGAGATCTAACTTTTCGCTTCGACGATCTTTGCTTTCCTCTTCGCTAATCAGCTCCGTAAATTTGCACTGTTACGCTAGTCGAAGAATGAGAATCTAAAGAAGTTCTTTCGTCGAAGGAATATTTATGACCTACTTACTTAGTTGTTAGAAAAGGATTAAAAATGATTTGAAAAGAACTGAAAAAAAAAAAAAAAAAAAAAAAGTAAAAAAAGAAAAAAAACGTAAAAGAAGGAAAGAAAGAAGAGGGAAGGTGGGAAAGATTGATCGAGAAACGTTTGAATTCTCGACGATAAATACCTACGATCATGTTCCAGGAAACTTTAACGTAACGAAAAACGGATTATGGATGATTTCATAGATCATTTGAAATTGCAAAATGATTAGTCGTCAGTTGTCTTCAAATTATATTATCTTTTCATACGTTCTTAGAAAACTAACGGTAAAGGTGTCTTTTTCCTGCATCCGATAAGAAAATGATAACTTTTTTATTTATATATTATTACGACGATAAAAGATATCGACCTCTTTCGTATGAGTCATCGAAAACTTATAGTATACGTATGTATGTGTATGCACATATATAAATGTGTGTGTGTGAACGTTTCGAATATCTCTTGAGTTTCGTGTACGTGGCAAAGAAGGGCGAAACACGATCGATATTTTCTTCCTAATTTCGCTAGGATATTTTCTCTTCGTCATCGGGAACCTAAAGCTACGAGAAAGAATGAGAAAGAGAGCATGAGTAAGAGAGAATTAGATAGAAAGAGAACGAGACTAACGAACGTGCACCTGGAAGTCACATGTAACGCGAAAGATGACGCATCTGCGCGTTCAACCAAGTAAAGCTCTCGCATGTGTGCGCCTTCTGTGCTTTTTTTTTTACTCGTACGTACCATACATGCAGCTTTATAACGATCTCGCTATGCATAACACAACATTCGGATTAGTTGAGATTCAGGTAAATACAAATTTTGTCAAAAGATAATCGCAATGTATAGGATGATCTCTTTTTCTCAACTTTTTTTTCTCTTTAATCCCTTGTCCCCGCTCATCAATAAGCATAATTGTGATTTACGTACGAGGTAGATTAACAATTGTGAATCTCGATTGTTTTGCAATGAAAATACATTAAAAGTATGCAAGAAATATATCAGTGTATGCAAAATATATGTAAGATATACAAATCCTGCCGTCTTGTGTTATTATATTATTCTTTCGGAAAGTCATATAAACAAGAATCAATAAAGAAATTTTAACTGACTTTTGTATAGAGGACAATGCGTCAGTCTTACGGTAGATTTCGAAGAGGACTATACATCAATCTTATATTACGTGCTTTTAAACTATAATATACATATTTTCTTCGATTAATTAACAATCCTTTAAGGTATATCGACAATTTTAATATATTTTGTTAATATTTTGGATTGTTTTAACGTTCCAGTGATGAATTTTGAGTTGAAAATTTTCGTTTAATAAAATATCAGATCGGAGTATATCAATAGATAAGTAATTTTTAAACAAATTTACTTTGTATTATTTTTACTCTAATGTATATTCAACTGTTTCAGATACTAAAAAATATATTTAAATAAAACTTTTCAG